TATAGTGGGGAGGGATGCAGCGGAATTGTTAGGAATTGTTGAGGAACTTTCACGCGCGGCGAGAATATCAGCATTGATTGCGGCAATGTGATTTGAACCAGCAGTCACAGTCGGACAGAAGGTGTCATAGGAAGGGTGTTCATCGCCTTCTTTCCTTGAGTAGTTGAACAAGTGAGAAGGAGGTGCTCGTGGGACGTAGCGTCTAATGGTTGAGCTAGTGTTCAGAGCACCTTCCTCGTCTTGAGTAGCTAACACAGAATAGAATGATTAGCCAAGTCGACATAAGAAAGAAAATATAGCTTACATTCATCCTCTTCCTGGATCGTGAAGAGTAGTGAAGATGAATCGTTGTCGTAAGGAAGAGAAACGTCCATATGTTCTAAGGTGTCGTCGGTGACATCTAGTTCTGGTGCGAGACATGTCGATAAAGCTAGTTTGGCAGTCAGGAGCCCTCCACAGGGGAGTAAGAAACCAAGCGCACCCGACTCCGAATCATGGCTGTCATCACAGGAAGCGTCCGGAACATCTTCAACATCCGCGAAGTAGGCGGAAGAGCTTGCGATGGAGTTGAGGCTGGGCAAGCTGGGAAGAGTTGCCATAAACCTTTCCGTCAAACGAGCTGTAAACTCTCCAGCTTGAGTGCGCTGTCGAGATGGTCCGCTACACGTATGATCTTCAGTAGCTCGCATGATGGTGTCGAGAAGAGGTTCGGAGGATTCATTCATGTAACCAAAGTTGATCCAATCTGAGCTGGGTCCGTCGAAAACTGAGTCTGCATCGAGAGCGTATTCACCTTGAAGAAAGAATGATCACCCAAAAAGCGAAATTAGAACCGAAAAGACTTACGAGGATGATCGGGGATGAGGTCAAGGTTGAATTCAGGAGATGGAACAGAGTAGCAGCTTGCAGATGTCGCGAAAGAAGCAAAGCTGTCATCAGCACTCAATGGAGTCTCAAAAGACTCGACATCAAAGGTGTTGACCTCGTCGACCTGAGTAGCCACCAGGGCATCAAGGGCAACGTCAGCTGTAGCCAACAAGTTATCTTCCACTTCTAATTGAACACCAATGGGCTCTAAATCAGAAGTCGAAGACATGTTGGCGAGATCAGAATTCAAGTTGTTGGACCGGGTCATACTGTCGTTGGACGAAGATGGAACACCAAAGGGCTCTACATCGATCGTGCCAGTAACATAGTAATCAGAAAGTCCTTCTGCATTGGGTATGAAATTATGTTACAAGCAAAGAGTAGGTCAATAGATAAACGAACCAACAGGGAAATCTGATCCAGCAAAGAGTGCAGAAGTTGCAGGAGACACGACAGGACGACCTGCTGGTTTATAGTATCAGTGCAATGGACGAGATCATGAGAGAAATAAACTTACTATTGTCAACCTGAATGTTGGTATCAACAATCTCCAAGCCAAGACCTACAGATGTAGGTAGTTGACGAGGGCTTTGAGTGGGAGTGCGATCTGAAGAGACTGGGGTGGTATTGCCGCGATGTTGGTTGAACAAGACTGATGCAACGGTGAGGGGCGAGGTGGGATAAGGACGCCCTTGTAAGGATTGCGGATGGAAGGGAGGTAATGAAGCCATCTTGGGATCGTCGAGGAGAAGAGGAGAGATAGCGTCAAGCATAGAAGAGTCTCCTGCATGCGAGGTGTAGTGATCGACAGGAAGAATACGAGGAGTGGAGGGCAAAGCCGACAAGAAGTTAGGGGTTTCTGGGATCTTTAAATATGTATTAAGCATCACAGCCCATTCCTCAATAGAAAAGGAAAACAAACCGAGAGTATGCTGAAGTCTAGGTCGAAGTCTTCCGCATAATCCTCGATGACCTCCTCTTGGATGACTTTCGTCTGGGCCGTCGTAGACTCAGGCATCTTGCGCTTCTCCATGAACGCAAGGGCACGTTGAGCCGCATGCGTTGGCGGGTCTCTTTTCAATCGCAGTGCCAACGCTTCAACAGCAGAGATATGAGGTTCCAGATCCAAACTGTCGTCTTCCTCATACTCGTATTCGTCGTGGTGGAGCCAGCGGTCCATGTCGCTAAGCTGTGATACGCCCTGACCAGGCTGCACAGCAGCAAGATGGACCTTGAGGTGCTCGTCCGTCACGGCTCCATTCCACTGCTCATCTGAGAACCTCGAAGAGGAGTTCTCGACTTGAACAGGCTCGCATCCAAAGATCGACTTCGCACCAGTGTCGAGTGGGGATGGGAGAGGCGTGTAATCACTGAGCGATGATGTCGACGACCCCCCTTTAGAGAAGTGATCAAAGGTGGAGGATCCAGTCCCCGAGGAGGAAGTTGAGGTTGAAGAAAGGGAGATCGTAGAACCCGAGGCTCGCTGAGCGTCGGGGATACGAAGGAGACCGGGTGGGTTCGGTGCCAAACGAGTAGACATCAAAGGGAAAGAATAGCGTTTGTATGCGTTTTGTTATTTTATTTTTTTGTGGGGAAAGAATGAAACGACTATTCCTCTTGGACATCATTTATAGCTGGCGCTCGAAAGGAGCGACCACTATGTCTCTGACTGACAAGCAAGACGAGATGTCTTGGGCCATATCTCAATGTTTTTAGGGCCCCCAGCGATCATGGTATGATACTAGCACTCCCAAGTGTTCTAGAACCCCACAGAGTTTCACCTGTGCAAGTCGTTTCAATATAGCCCAACACGCAAAAACATCGACTCACCATCGCTGGCGACATTGGGCACTCATGATATAAATCTTTAGAATCTTGGATCTTGGAGAAATAGTGCTGAATGGGCATGAAGAAGGCGTCGAGAATTCGGACTGGGACTCGGAGGAGCCAAATTGAAAGAACGGCGAGATGAACGTTGACCAAAAAAGTCACATCACGTGCATGTGACGCACGCGACTCAGAAGAAAGCTCGGAGGAGATAAAAGAGCATTGAATATTAGAGAATATAAGGTACGATTATAAAGTAAAAGGAGTCAAATGTATATCTATGGCTCTCCATGGGTGTCTGCCCACTACCACTTGGCGTATGGGAGGAATTTGCCACTGATGAAGTGCGTCAGTTAATTTCTTAGCCGTAGTCTGTCAAGACTTACTCGAATGTCAAGATAACCCTGTCACCCTTGGGGTTCTCTTTCTTGTCGATTGTAACCTTGCAGTCGATGAGCGACATGATACCATCACCGAACTAAGAATGACAAAGTTGGTGAGACTCTTGGGTATGGGCATTGGATATATAACCGACCTTCTCATTAATAATGGCCTAGGAAGATAGATGTGATCAGCCAATGGCCAGATATTTCGAAGCAGATATGTTAAAAATACCTTAATTGCAGTTCCGTAAACTGAAATACCCTCAAATAGACGATAGATCACAGGGTCTCTAGGAGGGAACTCAACCAGAGTTCCACGATAAGGGAACCAGTTGTCGCCGATTTGTGCGACTGCTGAAGAGGATGATACCCCAAGGAGGTCGGAGAGTTTCTTGAGCTCTTCCTCGGTGAATTTAGCCTGATTAAAAATAGAACATCAGAATAAATTCTCTAAAATGCTACGGACGATGCCTACTTGGCCGTAGAAAGCTGCGGCAACCCAAACTTCGTCCTTGCCAAGATGCTTCGCAATGGCTTCGAAGGAGAGGCCTTTACGAGCCTTAGCTTGGAAGAACAAGTTGTTCATGGATGGGAGGTTAGCGAAAGGAGCGACCTCCTTGTTCATAATAGGCTATTTGGTGCATTAACTTTCGACGTTCAAAAACAGGGTCAAAGACGCTTACTGCAGCTGCAGGTTGAGACATTGTAGAGTTGGAATTGGGAGACTTGAGAGTAGTATTAGAAAGTTGTAGAGGTGATTTGTGAACTGAAGAATTTCAACGACTTCATTGGCCTTCATATAGGCGCGTCGGTCTTAAGCCTTCTCCAGCAGTTTGCTAATTCAATCGATCCACATCACAACGCGGGAGGAGTCGGGTCGACTGACAAGCCTTCGGACGTCATGAGCCACACGAATATGCGCCCGACCTAGTTCTCATTTAGCATTTACGCGCTTTTGGCTATCATTGGATAGCGGATAGCCAATAATCCGGTCCCATGGGCCTAGGACACATGAAGTGGGTAACATAAATAACTGCAGCGTCGGTCAGTTGACATATCTAATCCAGGAATAGGAGTACTCACGTATGCTTTTCGTCTGTTTACGGAGCAAAAGATAGAGCTGTTGTAAGGGGCGTATCTGGCAGGGTAGTCTAAGGACACACAAACGATATTGGATCAAGACTTTTTGGGTTCTACATGTTCACTTTCGGGTTCTACAGGCTTCCAAATTTCCTTGGTGGCGTGCATTAGCTCATAAAGCTGTCCTAACTGCTCCTTCGACATCTATGTGTGGGCTCAGAAATGGGTGACAAGGCGGCTAAGAGGTCGAATCAAACCTTTTCAAACACCGTTGGATCAAGCTTCTTCCCAGAGAACGTTGTATTTTGGCTTGGAGGCATCTGATCGAGATACATCTTCCACTGCGTCAGGAAACCCATAATGTACATCGGGTTCGAGACATCCTTATGTCGCCGAAACTCTGCACCTCGGGATCAACATAGTCCTAGGAGGCTCCTCGACCTCGGTGACGTACCTGACTTGATATAGTCGTCACCTAGAGTGCGCATCTCTGGCGGAAGATGTCGGTGCGCACGCAGTAATCGTCTGAAAAGTCTAAATGGTACCATTAGCTACGTCGAACACCAAGTACAGCTCCGAGTCGAGGACAACTCTGGACGTACGGAACTGGAGGGTACAGCATTGCACTCGCTTTATTTAAGTTTAGCGGCGCTTTGGAGACGGACGCAGCCAGGCGACGTATTGAAGGATGCATTCTGGGCTCGAATGAGAAGTAAGCGCAAGGAGGCAGATGTGGGCGAGACGAAGGAGCGAAGCGGGAAGAGGGGAGCATTTCTGATCCGGGAGTTTGAGGGCCGGGCTTGGAGTGCAACTATATTGTGCACATGCAAACACCTTTCATCCGCCCGCCTAGCTCAATCGGATAGAGCGTCAGACTTTTAAGACTGACCTTGTGTGTTAGGCTAAGGCGATCTGAAGGCTGCGAGTTCGACCCTCGCGGTGGGCTACTAGATTTTTTCTCTTTAAGGTTTCCGCTTTTTTGAAAAACGCAGAATATCAAAGCAAGATCAATTTCAACTACTGTACATTTATACGATACCGACTATGCAGTAATTTTTACAATGACCTTCTCTCCGCTAACTTTATTATTCCTGAGGAGCTCCAAGCCGGCTTCCACTCGTTCCTTGAACGAACCTTCATCAAGCAGTCGGACGCGTGAAGGTTTGATAAATCCAGACTGTAGCAAACTTGGCAAAATCTTTGGCATGAGGTTTTTCTTTAGATACTCGTCCTGAATTTTCGAAATTTTGTCAGCATCAAAACTGGCGACTCGAGATTACGGGGCTCACATTCTGGTATTGGAACGTTCGAATATAAATTATCTGGGTCGTCTTTTCAAACGGGTTCTTTCCCTCAGGCAGTTCCCAATACATCTCTTGCTCTCCAGAGCCAGTCACAGTCGATCCTTCCTTGATAGGCAACAATACTGCAACCTTTCCCTGAGAACCAATAATCTTCCCTAATATCCCCAATGTAGATTCGGCCGATATGCAGTCCAAGGCAAGTGGCACTTTACCATCCCCTCCAACGAATTTCGCAATATCATCATTTAGAGATGCGCTATTGTAGTCAAAAGTCGCTGTGGCGCCGAGAGACTTCAGATATTCGTGATTTCTTGTGGAAGCAGTCGCGATGATCTTCTTGTATCCGGCAAGTTGGAGGAGCTGGACGGCGTAGACACCTACCGTAGAGCTCGCACCATAAATGAGAATCGGTGTATCGGCAAGAGGTGGTGAATCCGAAACTGGGAAAGATGATGGAACCGGCAATCCAAGTTGGTTGAATAAAACATAGAAAGCGCAAACAAAGTTATCGGGCAGTGTGGCTGCTTCCTCCAACGAGAGGCTGTCTGGGATCTTCGAGACGACCGAACGTGGCTGAACAGAATACTCTTGCATCGCCCGATTTGAAAAGTCGAGATAGGTAAATGCAGTCACCTATTGGAAGATTAATCACAAATCATTATCAATTCATCCTTAAATACTGTACATACCCGATCGCCTTGCATAAGATCATCAATGCCGGCGCCTAATGCATCAATAGTCCCCGCAACTGTAAACCCAATGATCATTGGATAGTTGTCCACCATATAGTTCCGGTCTGTCATATAGACATCTGGAGGAATAAGTGTTGACATGCAAATATGTCACTCCTATTATTAGATTACAAGTAGCTCGTCTATAGCATATAGACAGAGCCTTCCACATATGTACATGGTCTGTGCGTATGTACTCTACTAGTATATAAGTAGCACTGTAGCTCACTAGTAGAATAAGCAATTAACTTGGTTATTCGCCTTACCAGTTGCTTAAGACTTAACACCCAGGTAGGTGTTCGAGTTCGATCAGAACTGCGCTAGCTGCAC